ATCAAAAACTCCAGCTCCAGCATTCGGAGAAGAACATCCCCAGGGCTGCCCAGGCGGCTTTCTGCCTCCTCCAGATCCCGGAACCGGACCCCTTCAGCCTGTGGGTTTAGGTGCTCCCACCCTCCCGGCCTTGCCTCTCTGGGATTTGGTGTCACCGGCGGAGACACCTGCTCGTCCTCGGCCGTGGGGTCCCTGATGGACCCTCCAGGTAGCTGTGGGGTGGAGGGGACACTCGCCGAGCTGTGGGACGGGCTCTTTGTGCTCCTGATGGGATGAAGGACAGGGGACAACGTCACCCTGGGGACCATGGGGGAGCTGGGGGGACCCCAGGGGTGGCCTGTGGTGGGGTAGCCTTGGGACACCAGGGGCAAGGCTGGGAGCAGAGTCCTGGAGTGGGGCTGGATGGGAGAGCCTGGTTGGGTCCTGCCCCTTGGAGGGGCAGGGTGGGTGTCCCCAGGGTGTCCCTGTGGCCCAGGGTGCCCCGGCTCGGACAGGGCACTCCAGGATGCTTCCCCAGCAGTGTGGGAATGGGGACTTTGCCCTCCCTTGGCAGAGGATGTGACGGGGACAGGCGGCTCTTGGGACACAGACTTCTGTCCCCACCCTGCTCCTGTCCCCACCTTGTTCCTGTCCCCATCCCACTCCTGTCCCCATCCCGGCCATGGGGGCGGCTCCGTCCCACCCCGCAGTGGCACTGGGAGCTGGGTGACCTCGTGCCTGTCCCCCTTGGCTGTCCCGGCTGCCGGGCAGGGAGGGGCACAGGGGGACAGGGGGACAGGGGGAAGGGATGCCATCGCCGACTCGGCGAGCTCTGGCTCTGCACCCCGCGCCTGCGTGTGGCCCGGGTCCCGGAGGAGGGTTAATCCAGCAAAATCTCCCCAGGCATTTCTCCCAGGAGGGGCCCCTGGGAGCGGGGAGCTCCCCCTTCTCTGGAAGCCCTCCTGGGAAGCGCAGCCCAGCCCTGGCCGGAGGCAAATACCTGCGCGGGGCACGGCCTCCCCACGCTGGGTGCCAGCGGCCGGGCGCGGGGCCAGGCTGGGTGCGGAGGGACGGGTGGGCGCGAGGAGCGTCCCGGCCTCCAGCCACGCCGGGATGGGCGCAGGAGGGACCGGACGGGACGGGACGGCGAATACACACTCTCCAGACATGTGCCCTCCTCTCCTGGGTCCTGCTTCCCGATGGATGCCGCGGGGCACACGAGAGCCAGGGATGCCCCCCGTTCGCCATGCCGGGGAGATTCTCATCTCACACGGCGCGGGGGAGCCGGGGGGTTGAAAGCAGCCCCCCCCAGCGACACCCCCAACCATCCCCGTGCCTCGGTTTCTCCGCGGCGCTGCCCGGGCAGGGCTCGGTGCAGTGCCCCGCTGATGCCCCTCTCTCTGCCCGCAGGGTCCGGCCAGCCCGGGACGGCGCTGAGCACCACATGAGTGTGGGAGCAGCATGGCCAGCGACGCGAGGATGGGGGAGACCCCGCCGCGGTGGAGGAGAGCCCCGGACGCAGCGCAGGACTCCCGGGGGATGGAGAGCAGCGGGATGGTCTTATCCCGAAGCGCTGCCGCCGAACTGGGACTCCCGGGCTACGCGGAGCCCGGCAAGCTGAGCTACGGGATGGAGAAGGGGTGTCCCTGGAGGGGCTCCGAGGGATGTTTGGGACCCGT